TTTTTTTTTTTTCCAGTGCTACTTCAGTTGTGTAAATATGATCACAAAAACTGTAACCTTTGAAAACTGCCACCAAGGCATTTTTTCAGTTCTGTCAGAAATCACAGCGAGACACATTTGAGTCATCTCACCTCCCAACAGACCATCGTTTTGGGCACTAACCTTGCCTTCACATCTACTTTGGACGTTCCCAAGACGAAAAGTCCTATGTAGACCATTACCGTCATCTTATTCATATGCGGTTGGCTGGTTAAATGGCTGAGCCAGCTGAGGTTTCCAGAAAAATCACGGCACTATCTGCAAGAGAATGAGTCCATGGTGAGATTTTCTTGATGTGCTGTATTTGGCTAACAGAAAACAGAGATAGAAACACTTCAGGCCTAATCTATTTCGTGTTATTTTGGTGCTATTGTGATTTTGAATCAATTGATTAAATTGAAATCACTAAAGTTATTGCAAAGATTAGACAAATATCAATGCAACAATCTTAGGGGAATAATTTTACAAAGTTATAGTCTATGTTGTATATGTATGTAGTATTTTATTACAGTCCACAGCCGTAAAACTCACCTTGTACAATAAATCTTGACCATGCAATTTCTCAGTGGGAAACATATTTCTGATTTGTCTGATAGCACTTCAGACTAGGTTTGTCCTTGGTTTGTTGATTGGAGGTAAACATCCAAACACTTAAAAAAGATAGAGACGTACTTTAAAATGTGACTGTGCTAAAATGGGATTAGAATGATGCAGATAATCAGTTTAGTTACCTTGAAATATCCATATTTTTTGGAGTGATTCCTACTCGCCATGATCAAGCTATCCAAATAGTTTCCTGTTAATTAATTAATTATCAAATAATTAAATTATCTAATTAGTCATTGCATCATCCTTTTGCCTAATGGGCGCACATTAGATCTCTCTCTCTTTCTCTCTGTGTACAGCCCACAGGCAACATTCAGTCCTAATGAAAAAATAACTTCATAGTTTTCCATGCCTTGATCCTTCCATTATTTCATATCCATACAAAGTTTCCTTAATTTCAAATTAAATGTTGACTTTGTTTTGGTGCCCGGCCGAGGCAGATGTGGACTGTATGAAGCCTGTTCAGCGACTTCCTTTCTCTGACAGGTTATGGGTTTTGGAATTCGCTGCCAATCCTATCACATTTCCCTCTGAGCGCTTCAAATATCTGGCACAGGAGACTGACATAGAGGAACTGTATTTCTCCACATCCCTCCATTGGTTGTGCTGACTCGTGTGCTGAAAATGCTGCCTATAAAATGCATGGAAAAGAATGAGAATATCAATATTGGAGACTAGCCTAACTAACAATAAGTAGACAGTTTAGTAGAATTTAACTACATTCCGCAGTAGCATGACAGCAATTCTGTTTTCAAAAGAATGGTTATTGTTGACTACAACTAAATCGTGTAAAAATCGGTAACTAAAATAAAGCTGAAATAAAATAAATAATAAATAATAGATTAAAGACTATGCTATAAAGAAAGAATAATTAATAATAAAATATATAGAATATTTAGATACAAATATGTATATGAAAATATAAATATTTATATATGTTTCTAAATATAAAAAACAAAAGCTAATGACTTAAAATGACAAAAGCACAAAGATTTGCTGTACATACACTAAAATTTAAATGAAAACTGAAAAAAGCTAATTAAAAATATGAAGTATTATAAAACTATATAAA